CGGCGGCCCCGCGCTGCGCCCTGTACCCCGGGCATTGTGTGCCCTCCGCGCCCGCCGCCTCCCGCTCATCCAGCTCATCGCAAACGCCTGTGCGCCCGCCCGGGGCCGGAAACCGTGCGCTCCCCCCCCCCCCCCCGCCGCCCCATTCCTTCCCCTCCCCTCCCTCCCCGCCCCGCACTCATTCACTAGTTACTTGTCTTTTTTAACTCGCCGCCCCCTCCCCCTCCCCGATCCCGGCCCTCCAGCCCGGGTTTTAATCCCCATCCCTTCGCCGCCTGCTCCTTGCACCCTGACCCCCCCCCCCACCCCCGCCGCCTTCCTCCTCCGCTCCGCACCCCCCTCCTCCTCCTCCTCTCCCTCCTCCTCCTCCTCTTCTCCCTCCCGCTCCTCCTCCTCCTCCGCCGCCGCCGCCACTGGCTCGCTCGCTCGCTCCCGCTCCCCGGACGCTGGGGAAGGGCTCGGGGCGGCGGCGGCGGCCGGGAGGCGGCTGCGTGCTCGGGCCGGGCGGCGAGCGGGGAGGATTTGTATTAAAATGAGGAGGAGGAAGAGGAGGCAGCCACAGCGGCGGCGGCGGGAGCGGCGGCGGCGCGGAGGGCTGCAGCCCGGGCGGACGCGCGGAGCCGAGCTGGGCACGGCGGCGGCGGCGGCGACAGCGGCCGGGATGAGTCAACTAATCATTTAATGGGGGCAGAGACGGCAGCGAGGGGGAGAGCGAGAGCGAGCGACCGAGGGGGTGGAGGGGGGGGGAAGAGAGAGGGAGAGAGAGAGGGGAGAGAGAGAGAGAAACAGCCCGTCCGGGCGCCGGCGCTCACACGCGCACAGACGCGCGCACACACCTCCCCGGGCCGCCCGGCCGCCACCGCCGCCGCCGGCCGAGCAGAAAGCGGGGCGACTTCCCCCCTCCACCCCCTCCTCTTGCATTTTGGGAAACTCCTCATCAGTTTTGCGGGGGTTCCTGCGTCCCTCCCCCTCCTCCCCCTTCCCCTAGCTCCCAGGGCCATTGTGGCGCTCCTTGTTTACCCCGGACTCCGGCCCAGTGAGCGCGCGGCCACTTTTTTTGGGTGGGGGGGAGGGCGGAGGGGGCGGGGAGCGTGTGGCTGCGGAGGTGGCTAGGGGGGGGTTGCCTTCTGATTCCTTCCTCCCTCCCTCTCCCGCCCTGTCCTGCCCTCCCTCCTCCTCCCCCCGAAACCCCCTCTCTCGCCCCTTCACTCGCCCGGCACCCCCAGCCGCGCGCCCCGCGCCCATGGGCAGCGAGCGGGTCCGCGGGGCTGCGGGCTGCGAGGGCCGGAGCCCCAGTGGCGTGGTAGTGCCTCTCCGGGCTTTTTCCGCCACCTCCTTGCCCCCCGCCCTCGCTGCCCTGGGTTGAGGGTGCGAGGCGGTGGGAAGAAAGTTTAAGGTTTGTTCATATCAGTCGCGATTGTTTGGGGGACGGGAGAGGGGGGCGAGGAGGGGAGGGGCGGCGAGGTGGCCTTCCCCTCGCCGCGTCCTCCGGGGTCATCGGAGAAGAATCCTGCAAGTGACAGCCGGAGTGGACTCGGGGTTCCCTCGCCCCGAAAACCCCGAGCGAGCTGAGGGAGGGGGACCCCTCTTCCCCCCCTCCCCCCCCCATTTCGGGGAGACCTTGTCCGCAGTGAATTTTTTTTTTAATTTTTTTCTTTTTTGAAAGAATCCTCCAGCCACCACATCGCTTCCCCAGCTCCCACCACCACCACACAGTGCCCAGGGTTTGCTTTGTTTTTTACGATTCTTCCCCCCAACGAATCACTTGTCAGATCAATTTTATCTCTTCCCCCTCCTCCCTCCTCCTCTCCACTCTCCCCTCCTCCCCCCTCCGCAAACCCCGTTCTCTGAGGTTAGGCGTTTTACAAACCTTCTATGTTGTTTTTCGAATTGTGAATTTTTTTTTTTTAAACAACACTCTCTCCCCCTCCACCCCCCACCCCCCACCCCCCATGGCTACTCTTCCATGCGTTTATTTCTGCCCTTCCCCCGCTTAGGGGGGCGGGGGTAGGGGAAGAGAAAATAATACAATTTCAGGGGAAGTCGCCTTCAGGTCTGCTGCCTTTTTTTTTTTTTTTTTTAATTAAAAAAAAAAAGAGAGAGGGGGACAGAAAACATCAGTCTTGAACTTCTCTTCAAGAACCCGGGCTGCAAAGGAAATCTCCTTTGTTTTTGTTATTTATACGCTGTCAAGTTTTGAAGTGGTGAGTTTCAGGTCGGTTTTGCTAATTTCACTCCGTAAAACTGCAGTGTTTCTGTTTCTAGATAGTACTTTGCTTCTTTGTCTCTTTAAAAGGTCACAGGGAAAGCTTGGCCTGGATCGTGCCGGCCATGTGGAATGGATAAGGGCATAATCTCTTAAAATGTGATTAGGGGGTTCCGTGGGGGGGGGTGGGGATGGGGGTTGAGGGAGGCCATTTAGCAAGGAACTCCTTGAAAGGATCCCACATTGCAGCAAAAACAAAAGCAAAAAACAAACAAAAATAATGTTCTTGAAACCGGAATTTCGTGCTTTTCTGTTTGTGTGTGTGTGTGTAAAGGGAAATGATTGCTGTGTCTGAGTTCACTGTTTTAGTTGGGAGTGATCACATATGGACTTGGTTTACGGTCTGGGAAATGGGATTTTGAGAAAGTAGCCTGCTTTCTGTGTGCCAGCCAAACGTTACACGAAAATGGACTTTACAATGTGTAACTCACAAGAAACTCTCGAGCCTGGCATCTGTGGAGGCAGAATTAGTTCCTGGGCTGTCAGTCCAGCAGGCCCAGAGTGGAGACTGCTCTGTGCATTTCCAAACGGAGGTTTGGTGAACTTTAGCCTTGGGCATAGAGTTTAAATGAGGAAATGGGGTGTTTTATGTGCATGTAATTTTGCTTTATAATGTAAAGCTTTTTACAGGACGACCGAGTGTTTAATTGACGCTTGTGGGTGGGTATTGGGAGGACAATTTTGCATGACCTGTATGATGTTTTGATTATCAATACGTTAACTAAATTATCATCTATCAGTTTCACTCGCGTATCCTTTATAGTGCTGCTAAGCCTCAAGACTGCTGAATATGTTTGGTAGCATTAACTTTGATGCTGAAGTCTACTTTTTTCTCTCCTTTTTCTTAAAATTGCCCCACGGGTGAAGTATTTTCTTTTCAAAGCATATGTTTTAAAATTCATTTTCTGCTCTAGGGGAAGGCAACCACTTTGGAGAAAAAAAAAAAAGCATCTCTGTATTATAACCTACATGTAGCATTACAAAGAGTGTTTTGAATAAGTTAATAACCATTGCTCTCTAATTTTGGCTTTAGTTTAATATAATGGAGAAGAGTAATCTTGATAAAAAGTGGTTAAAAGAGGCACATTTATTGTTAATGAACCTCATAACCAAAAACAGATGGGACCTCGATCAATGGTAAACCTTTAGTTCTCAGCGTGCCACCCTGGAGTACAAGGATAAATAGCCATTATTTCTCAAACTTTAGAGTTCTTCAATTGGCATTCTTAAGGTTGCTTTTAAGCCTACAGTTTACCATTGCCCCCTCCTCCCCATTCGCCTCTTTTCTTGATTATAATGGACAGAGTAATCTATGGCTAAACAGAAGAAAAACATGCTTATAGAAAAGGCATGCTACTATAAACTGGCTTTCAATAAATCGGATCTAAATAGCTTTTCCCGGTGTAATAATTTTTTAAAAGTACAAGAGATGTCAAATTACCAGACAGCTGGAGGAAAGTAGTAATTATCATATTCTATCTGATTTTTTTTTGAAATATGATCCCTTCCCCCTTCGTATTGGTAAGCTAAGTACTATGAAAGTTCATAATTCCACTCACCTGTTCTTATCAATTCTAGTTAAAACTATTTTAGAAGTGACTTGGATATTGTGCTCATTGTTTTATCGTAAACCGTGTGAAAATGGATGTCCATTGTATAATTGAAAATATAATTTTTTTGAAGTCAGCCAAGATGTTAACTTCAGTGCATACCGAGATTATTTTTGAAAACTGGCAATTGTGTTTTACCTAAATCAAGATTTTTTTTTAAAACCAGTTTGGCATTTGCATCTAATGCTAATATCACAAAGTATTTTCACATGTTTTGCTATTGAAATTAAGAGCATTCTATTACTAAAGTACTCCTAAATGTTAACTCTAAACATGTGAGTACTTGGAATATTTGAAGAAGTCCCCCACCTAACATCCATTTGCTTAGGGGTGAAATGATCCAATCACACATTTGAGCCAAGATTTAACTAGGTATATAACAGGTCATAGTAGAAAACTTTTTCTACAAATGAACCTGTAATGCCAGTGGGGAGTGTAAAAAATTAGATGTTTGCTACCTTCTTCTGTGGTGGTATGTATATACGTGTATCATTTTTCCCCCCCATAAAAACTTAGCTATCTTACAAATATATATATATATATATATTAGTTAAATCTGTATATATATATATATATATATATATATATATACACACACACAGATTTAACTAATATTTGGACTGTGATCATTTTTCCATCCTTGATTAAAGTGTTACTGTTTTGTTCTGTAAAGAGTTGCTAATTTTTAGAAATTGGGACTGTATAAATGTAATTTATTTTCTTTCTGGCTATATTGTAGTGATTCTTGTTTTAGAAGTAAAGCCCATTCCCCCTCCCACACACTTAGCTTTGGTGGTAGGTCACAAATTAGCTTTTATTCAGGTGTGTTAATACAGTTTTCACAAATTATCCTGCTAACTTGAGTGGACATATGGTGTTATCGTGAAATATAGTAACATCTACATTATATTATCTATCTAGCTGAGTAATCTTGCAGATTATATTTGTGAAGAGAGATATCTAGGGGTAAAACATTTACATGATGAATATATGTAAATACAGAGAAAGGGGGGGAGAGAGGGAGGGGGGGGAGAGGGAGAGAGAGAAACACCCCCCACCCACCCAATTCTAACAGCATCTTCTTTTTTAAATCCTGGCAGGTGATCTTTAGAGGGCAACTGAGTATGGATCATTTGAACGAGGCAACTCAGGGGAAAGAACATTCAGAAATGTCTAACAATGTGAGCGATACGAAGGGTCCACCAGCCAAGATTGCCCGCCTGGAGCAGAACGGGAGCCCGCTGGGAAGAGGAAGGCTCGGGAGCACAGGTGGAAAGATGCAGGGAGTGCCTTTGAAACACGCGGGCCATCTGATGAAAACCAACCTTAGGAAAGGTAAATACTCTGGAGCCAAATCCTGGAAAGCTGTGAGCCCTGTGCCTACTACCCAAGGCTACTCTGTGTGGGTGTGGAGAGGCAGCGCTCCTCTGTAGACAGTTACATCCCTGGCTGCGTTGTCATGCAGGTTTTGAAAGTGGAGGCTCTGTGTGTGTGTGAGTGGAGCATCTTACTCTGCTGCTACAGACTGGGATTATTGGACGTTTACGTTGATCAGGACTGAGTTCAACCTAATGGTCTTTAGCTACCCAAGGCTTCCATGGATAAGGTGTTATTGAAGTAGAGGATATATATACATGGCTATTGCTGTACTCTCCCTGCTTCAGAATCAGATACTGGCTTTTCCATCAGATTACTGGTTGTAAAAGACAGGTTCAGAGGTGATGGAAATTTTATGTGCTTTGAGGTACAAGTTGTGTGATGTCATTTTTGTGGCTTGTTTTCTTAAGAGCAAATGGCATTATTTGGCAGTGAAAAAAACCTGATCCTTCTAGCTTTTACGTTTGCTATCACTGGGTATTTTTGATAAAAGGAAAGGCAGATTTAGGCAAGTTTATAAGGTGAGGACCTGTAACGGGGACTCCTTTCTGCCCATTTTATGTTAAGTTGATGAAGTTGAACAACTTTGTGTTCAGCACTCGTTCATGTAAAAGCAGTGCCTGTGCTGGTTTCAATGTATGTGCCTCAGAATGGTCTTTATTTTGTCTCTGAATAAATGTGTACAGGATTCAGATTTCCCTTCTATTTGCTAAGCAAAGGATAGAAATGCCATCCTTTAGCGACCGAGAATATTAAGGAGATAAAGTTAGAAGGCAGAGGAATTTCATTGTGTTTGATGCATAACATTTATCATACAATCATTTATTTTTTCCTTGGTTTGGCGAAAACAAAGAATATATTGATCCTGAAATGAACAGACACAGCAGACCGTATTGTTAGATCTTTATCTATTAAAAATGGAAAAACAGCACTTCAGCAAATTCTTTGGCCTCTGCTCATGATTACCCTATTTATTGATTGTTTGCCAAGAATGTATGCATCTTAAGAAAGCCAGGGTAAGAGCATTAAAAATATAATTTATTATGGCTTTTCCAACAGAGTGCATTAATATTGTACTGTGAAGCACTGGGGCTCTATAAAAAAAAAAAAAAAAAAAGACTTTCTGACGCCTGCAAACATATAAGTTCCATAAATTCCTAAATAGGAGATTTCAGCTGTCTCTGGTATTATGTGATATTTGCACAGCAAACTTTTAATGCCAGGACAGTTTTAGACAAGGATTCTACAGACTTCCCTGCTCCTTATGGCAGACGTGCTGTTTACACAGGCTCATAAACCTTCAGCAAAAGCTTCTGAGACTGCCTCCAGGTTTAAATCATGCGGTATTTTTAGCAGCCGGCAGTGGCCAGTGCGCTGCTCCCCCTTTAATGCCTGGAGGTTATGGAGTTGCTGGAGTTGGAAGTCTCGCCAAACACCCGCGCAAATAATCAGTTCAGAGGAGGCTCCTGTTCAGCATTACTCCCTATGGCAGGAGGGCAGCCGTGACAGTTTGCTGGAAGGGTTAGCAGGCAAGGTTTGTAATGAAATGATACTGTTGTCACTTTATCAGCAGCCACCTTTCGTTACCTACATACAGGGTCCCGCTCCATACAGTCGAAGATGTATCCCCATGCATGTCAGTCGTTTGGGAAAAAAAAAAACCAAAAAACCCCGCAGTGATGTCATAGGTCTAAGGAGAGAGTAGGACCACGTCAGTCTCATCCTTGAAGAGGAAAAATCAATGCGTATGTTTTTGTTGTACCAACCCAACTCTTTGAAGCCATCAGGACAGGGGGAGGAGAAACCCAAGTACAGTAATTTCACTTCCTGCTCAAAAGATTTTTTTTTTTTTTCTTTTCTTACAGCATTGCATTGATAGTGACTTATTTTCAAAATGTAGTTTAATTGGGGAAGGTTCTGTGCTTATTTCAAACAACAAAAATCACTGAAGCCTTTTAGTGGTGGTAGGTTTTTTTGTGTGTGTATGTGTGTTAAATTTTATTTTTTGTGTTTAGTTTCTGTTTGACAGGTGCTAGATAAAAATTGTGGCAGAGTTGTGGCTTAAGAAAAAGGGGCTGGATGTTTTTGTGTATTTGCTGAGGAGTTTTTGCCAAAGTACCTCCAAGCCAAGAAAGAAATCACCAGTTAGTCTATTGCTGTTTTTTTTTTTTTGCTGTGGTCTCCCCAAATTTTCTGGTCCCTGGCGGGTTCTCTCTCTGGTATCAAACAGCCGAATGAACGACTAGAATATTGGCAAGCTCCACGGCTTTTTTTTTTTTTTTTATGTCTCGCCTGTCGGATACCTCCGAATGAGTTTGTGAGCTTTTTCTAAGTAAACCTGAAGGTTTTGGTGCGTTAGCTTTGTTGATTGTTTTTTCCAGAGTAAGAATCTCTCCTGAACAGATCATTGAGGCTTTGGTGAAGAGGCATGTGTAGAAAAAAATGTAGCTGTCTTACTGCCAGCTTTTGTTCACAGAAGAGAGCATTTTTAAAGGGCATCTTCGGGTGTCCCTAGAAAATCTCGATTTTTTTTTTTTTTTTTTAGCTCTGGTTGGCAGGTCTTCGGAAGTTGGTAGGATTCTGCGAGTCCAGAGGACAGCGCTGATAGAGGCATTGATGTTACAGGGCTAATTGAGGATCCTGGGTGCCCTGTTAAAGTAACCCTTGCCATCATTTATGGTAAAGATGATACCCTGCTGGCAGTTTGCCACAAGCACAGTTCGGATGCATCTGCTTTTAACCCTTCTCTGCGTGGCCCTGGGAGTCTGGCAGTGCGCTGCGTGAACACCTTGAGGGCGACAGCATTCCCTGGTTTCCGTTTCTAGAAGCCTTTTTTCCAATTTGGTAGGGTCAGTGCTGACTCATCCTCTGGCTACTGAGTTATTACATTGGATTAAAGTAAACAGAGAGCGAACATCAGATCGTCGCAGATTCCTTTATCCTAACAGGTCCTGGTGAGGCCAGTTTCCTTTTTGGCGCGCTCATTTTCATCCCATTTACTCCAGCAAGGCTGTTCCTTTTCAAGACGTGTGTTTTCCGTGGTGTCTTTTTAGTCAGGTAGATGAAGTGAGGAGGAGCCATAAAAATAAAGTCTTATTTGCCTGCATTGTGCACATACTGAAATCATATGTTTTGAGCATGAGTTTGGCTAAGTTTTGTGCTCCTTTCATGGAGGCATGATAAAAGTAAAAACCTTTATAGAGGAAGTAAAAGGCTAATCATTTTACAGCCAAAGATAATTTGTTTGGGCACAAACAAGGGATCATTTGATGTTAACAAAAGCCTGTGGGAAACACGAATTGCTTCTTGTGAAGACAACTGGAGTGAGTCAGGTTTGCCCTCTGTCTGCATACCACTCCCAACCGCTCAGACAAGACACCTACCCCTCCCTCCCCCTCCTCTCTCATCAGCATTATCTCTTGATCAGAAAGGTAATTCTGCAATAACTAAGCTTCATGGAAGCAGGGCCCACTCCCCCTCGGAGCAGGCTCACCTTGTTTCCATATCTCTCTCACAATTCCGAAAGAGGAGAGGTTGTATGTTTGTATATGTTGGGGTGTATGTGTGTGTGCCTGTGTTTCTGTGCCCTGTCTGCCTCTCAGTCTCTCCCTCCTCTCCCTGTTGTGAAGATTTATTTTCATGGCTTCGTGTTTGTTTTCTTGTTTTTTTTTTCCTCTTCCCTCCCTCCCAGACTGTATTTCTGAAGATTGTTGGTTTGCCTCTCTCCCTCCCTGTTCCTCCGATAGGCACCATGCTACCGGTGTTTTGCGTGGTGGAGCATTATGAGAACGCCATTGAATACGACTGCAAGGAGGAGCATGCGGAATTTGTGTTGGTGAGAAAGGACATGCTTTTCAACCAGCTGATCGAAATGGCACTGCTGTCTCTGGGCTACTCACACAGCTCTGCCGCCCAGGCCAAAGGTACACGATGCACGTGCGGGACCGGGAGAATTGCTTGGCATCCTTTGTTTACCTCGCAGAGAAAGCACTGACTATAATTTTTTTCCTTTTTCTTTTTTTTTTTATTCAAAGAACTGTAGGTTGTGTATGATGACACGGGCTCCTTATAGGCTGTGGCTTTAAAAAATTGACTTCATTCACTTTGGTTTAGTTAACACACATTTTTTGCTCATGTGGAATGTCGAGGTAGATTTTTTTTTTTTTTAAATTACTTCAGCTGAATCATTAGTATGCTTATTGACCTTAATAATCTGCTCCACTGAGGACCCACAAGGAAGTGAGGAGCGTATTTGAGCAGATGGACTGTTGAGAGTCAATTTGCATTTATGACTGAATATCTAGTTCTGTTTCTTTTATTCTGTTTCTGATGGTTTTATGGGCTGTAAAGTATTTTTCAATGCTGATTCCCTTTGCAGTAGAGGATCTTATCTGAATCATAAAGCCGTTTTTAGCACTGGCTCAGCTATGTCTTATTTAGAACTTCCTGCAAGTTTAGGAAAAACGTGGCCTGGGCATCGGTTTTATTGATGGCGTTTGATTTCCAAAATAATAAAACAACCCTACTGTCATTTACATAATTTCACAATTTGGAAAGCTGAGCTCTGAATATTTTCACTGACCTGCCTTTCAGAGGGAAGGGAATCATTTCAGACAGAAATGACAATATTGCTTGTGGTGGGGACCATGAAAGAAAAAATAAAATAAAATAAAAAAATAAAAACAACAACAACCTACCAGATGTATTGTCTGAGGGGTACAGCATGCAGTGACATATTCTCTTTATCTGGACTAGGGCTCATCCAGGTTGGAAAGTGGAATCCAGTTCCACTGTCTTACGTGACAGATGCCCCTGATGCTACGGTAGCAGATATGCTTCAAGACGTGTATCATGTGGTTACGTTGAAAATTCAGTTACACAGGTGAGTCAAGGCAGCGTGCTGGGGGGAAGCATTCTGGCTACCTGATATTTTTAACTAAAGCATCTCTGGTCAACCTTTTCATTCCCTCTGTGTTTCAGACAGGTTAATTAAAATGGATGTTGTTGCCTTCTCCTCTCTGCTTTATTTTCCTAACTTCAGTGTAGAATTTAAAAGCAACCGAATCCCTCCCCCCCAAAAAAAATTTTTGTAGGTTTGTGCAAGTTATCAAAAGACAAGACTTTTTATATGTAGGCAATGAAATGATGCCTTACAAGAAGGCATTTTACATAAAGTTTACTTAAGAGAAAAATATTTCTGCATATCATGAACAGTGCCATCTGTGTACATTTTGTGAAAGAATGCCTTGTTCACTCTTGCTGCAGCCTTCTTTATATATATATTATTATTATTATTTTTTTTTTTTTTTACCATTTTAATTCGTATGAGCGGAGTCACGAAAGGAAAATGGCTAATACGTTCACGCTTCCCTCTGCTTGCTCGTGAGAGAGCAAGTACACCTTAAATTGTCTTCCCAAGCGCATCAGAGCAGGAAGGTAGAAGTAACATGAAAAAATAGCCACCACAGGCAGCTGATGTATAATTCATGCATCGATACAGCAGATGTGTTGTATAAAGTAATTAACTAATCGGAACAATCAGGAGACCGAGAGCAATCTCCAGATGCATCTGTTTGATGCGCAAAATGAAATCTGTCTGTCTTAAAGGAATGTTTTGCAGCGGGATGCAATCTTGTAATAATCCCCTTTCTAATCTCCGTCTCACACATAGTTGCCCCAAACTGGAAGACTTGCCTCCCGAACAATGGTCGCACACCACCGTGAGGAACGCTCTGAAGGACCTCCTGAAAGACATGAATCAGAGTTCACTGGCCAAGGAGTGCCCCCTTTCACAGGTACTTAGCAGCGTGTGGAATATGTAATAAGACATCCCATCCCGGGCCGCCCCGATGTGAGGTTCCATGGGGCTCCGTGGTACGGGGAGCGAGAATCTGCCAGAAATGCAAAGTGGCTTGACCACGGGTGATGTTTAAAAAAATATGCCTAATTCATTCTGAGCGCAGCCTTGACACTTTTTCTCCCTTGGGAAAAGAGCGAAGGAGAAACGGCTCAGCAGACTCTGCTAGCTTGTTTTCTGATTGCTCTTCTGAGCCTGGGAGCTCCATCCTCCCGAGGGCTCCGATGTAGGGAAGAGTCAAGGCAATCACACTTCCAGGAGCCCACAGTAAGTGTGAATGCGGAAAACTTTGTCGTGCCGCCTGAATTAAGAGTTCAGTTGTTTAATACTTAGCTCATTATAAGAATAAAGAACTGCAAAGAACATTTGTAGTAATAATTATAAAAATAAGAATAGAAATCTCCTGTAAAAGGTTGAGTAGTTATTGTACCTTAGAATTTTCTCTCTAGTTTGGGGGCATTGGGTTTGCCTCTTTCTCCCCCCTCTGAGATGCCTGCCAGACCACCAGGAATTTTTGGAATAAGACACAGATCTATTTTTATTGTTTGATTTTTTTTTAAGAATGAATTTTGATGGAGAGTTACTAAAACTACAGAGAGAGACCACCCCTGTTTCTAAATGTAAAACCAAACATCGTGTTGGATAGTGCTCAGCTAATTTAAGATTTAAACAAACAAACAAACAACAACAACAACAAAGGTGCTATGAACCTGCTTTTTATGGGCTGGCTGTGCGGTGACTACATAAATGTGGTAGAAAACTGCCCTTCCATGCCCAAATGCAGTGGAAGGCCATTCTGTGACAGAGTATAATCGAAGTGCTGATAGAACTAGATGTGTAAGGTTTTCTTTCAGTTCAAGATTAATCCATAATTTGAATGTCAGTCTGTCAGTCATTTGAACTTGAACTGTATGACTCTGCTACAAACATTTCTGCAGTTGAGGGAGTCTTCACATGTGTTTCCAATGTGATGCTCATGAAGATCCAGGGCCCCTTTGAAAGGAAGCTTGCGGGCTTCTGTGCCACCTTTTCTGGAACCTCCATGCATTGTTGGTTTGCTGCATTGCAGTCCATCCGTTTTCCTTTGATATTTATTAGCAGTTACAGGAGTGAAGCGAATGAACTAAGTGGATAGTTAATGATGACTCGCTGTGTATGCTCTTTTAAGGTGAGCTCTAGCCACAGGTAAAACATCCTCTGTGTTGTTACGTGTTTCTTTAGAGCAGGCTCTTTTTGTCATTCAAGCTCATCTCCTTCTGTGCTTCCTCTTTCACCCATGGAGTAGGAAGGATGTGAATGTATACCCCTCCAAAGTAATTTAAATCAATGAAACACAGAAATCTACAGGATGATGGAGTGAAGCAGGTGACTCTGACCTCTGGGACTTTGGGTTTTGCAGACAACTCTAGATAACATGCCAGTTGGATACTAGCATTTGAACATTGGAAATGTCCTTGAAATAAACTTTTTTTTTTTTTTTTTTTTTTTAATTCAGAGGTAATGACGTGTAGCAACACCCAGAGTAAGAATCTCAAGTACTTTCATATTACTAAGTGTCCCATTGATTTCGGAAGTAAATTCATGCAAAGATTTAATGCATTTATTGTGAGCTGGAGGAGGAGGATGCTAGCACAGTATTCATCAATATAGGCAGTGAGAACTCATAGTTAAATGACATCAACATTCGGCCAATAAACTCCACCTCACGGTAGCTTGTAAATATAATTGTGAATTTACTTAATGTTATCATGGGAAATGAATTGGATGCAGGCAGTTATAACATTAAACCGAATGACAAAATGAAATTCGGAACTTGGTTTTGGAGTCATAGATTGGTGAATCTCTGCAGAAAGCCCTTTAGAAGATCATGTGTCCATCTCTCTCTCTGTGTGTGTGTGTGTGTGTGTGTGTGTGTGTGTGTGTGTGTGTGTGTAGTGTAGACTTTGCTGTAATCATTCAGGGGTGAAAGTAGGCTGCAACTTCAACATAATTGTAATTACAGTCATCTTTTCTTTAAAAGAATATTTTGAAAAAATGCATAGTTGAGCAGTGGCAGCAAATATTTGAAATTAACTTAAAATTTAATATTTTAAAGAAAGTGCAGTCTGTTGTGTAAATGAGGGACTTATTTTATATTCTGTTACATCATCTTGTATCCTTTCTGTAGAATAAATTCCATGAACCTGATAACTCAATTCAGAATGTTTTAATAATGAATTATTTTCCATTTTTTCTTTTATTTGCTGTCATAAGTTATGATAGATGAGAAATTCAGGCTCTTCTAAGGAGTAAGCCAAAAATATATGCTGAGTTTGGCAAAAATGACTCTTTCTCCTGTGGTTAAAATTTGGTGATGAAGATGATATGGTAAAAAAAAACAAACAAAAAAAAAACCTAACAAATAAATATTGTCTCAGCCTTGTATAAAACGGGGCCCAATACCAAGAAATCCAATGTTAAGACCCTTTGACTCCCCTGTGGAGATTTGATTCATTCACAGAAGAACTTTCAGCATACAATGCACTGTTCCCATTTCGCTGTACAGTTGTTTTGTTTAATATGATAAGATAACCTTGTAGCCACTTAGGGCTACAGGTCCCCTAATATTACGTTTAGCAGATGTCTACCCTGTGGGCAGTAGACTTGCTGGAGAGAGTAGGAGCCAGAAAGGAATAGGAACAGGAGCCAGCAGGAATTTGCCCCCTGGTGTCTGATAAGCTCTGCCTCCGATGCTCTTATGAGGATTGTCTCAGTCTTGCTGAGCAGAAGTCCATTTGGGACTCGGAACCATAGAACTAGGACACGTTACTCTCCCAGACTTCTCCGTGGACAGATAGAGGAACCAGTGTCCCCAGAGGTTAAATAAAGCCAAAATGCTGGGTACTGGCTGACCCAAAAGTCCTTTCCCAATGATGAATTTCAAAGGAAGTGCTGACTTTGAAATGAATACTTAACATTTTGGTGCAGTAATGTTTTCTTTGATAATATTTGCAAAGTTTTTTCCAGCTGCAGAGGTTCTGTAAGTGCGCATGTGGTTTGATTTATAACTCATACCTTTCTTTATTTGCGGTATTGCTTTCCTATCATAAATCTACCCAAGTAGATTGATACCCCTTTATTAAGTTTTGGTCCCGCATATTTGTTTATTTTTGTAAAAATGTTCTAAGGCATAAGAAATGCCTCCCTTGTTACAGATTTGAGGTTGAGCATTGTATCGTTACTCTTGCTTTTTTTTTTTTTTTCAGTGGGATGTGGTTAGATAAGTTGGATGTTGTATTCTGAAATGCAAGTAATGCGGAGAATGAAGTCTGACTCGGGGACCAGAAGGCTTGTGGTCATGAGAACTTTGAGAGTGTAAATTCGGGAATAATTAGGGAGTTGAAAAAAGAAACATTTTGCTTTTCATTTTGATTTTAGTTTTCCCTGGAGTTTTAGAAATGGAACTTGAATACTTGAAATATGTAGATATAGATATATGTAGATATAGATGTAAATATATATAGATATATCTATATACGTGTGTGTATATATACACATATGTGTGTGTATATACACACACGTTTATATGTATATATAATGTACACATATATGTGTATACATACACACACACATATATATAGTCAATAGAAGGATAGATTCATTTTGTTGAAAGTATCATAAGTAAACATCAGTTATTACTTCTACCAGACTAATGCCTTCCTTCTGAAAATGATTAGGTCAGATATTTCGGTGAGATATTCATGTAATAGGTGCATTATTACCACCCATCCATACCCCACACTGGGGTGTACACACACACACACACACACACACCACTGCCTTAAAGACACTGCGTGGTTTTCTATTTCTTACCCGGGGGAAAGTAGCTCCAAGCCCAAGTCCTACATAAACTAAGTAGGAGTTGTCATTTTTATTTTCAAGTAGTAAAAGCTATAGAAAATGAATTCAAATGTGAACATCCATTTAGAAGTAATATTGAGAAAAAAGACTTTTGAGTTTTCATTTTCCTGCCAGCAGCAGGGTCTAATATGTGTTAGTTTTTTGTTTGTTTGTTTGTTTGTTTGTTTTATGTATTGACAAAACATATAAAAAAAAAAAAAAGGAAACCGTGCTGTCCTCCTGGAACTTAGCATTTAAAATTTGATTTTACTGATTCTCTGGAACTTAGACATTTAACAAACCTGTGTTCAGTTAATTTTCATTCTGTATTATAAATAACACTGGAGCAACAATTTTAAAAGCCCTGCTTGTTACATATTTTTAACTGCACTTTGTGTAATTTTTTTTCATAACTTTTGTACTGAAGTGACATTTAAAAAGATTTTTGTTGCAACACTGATGATCACGTTCTCTCAAAGGAACAGGCAGCATCAGTATTCATATATTGTATTCCATGTGAGAGCCTAACCTATGACATTTATTCACATATTTACATATTTATACATTCAGACATATGTACCGACAGTCTCCTGTATGACAGGAGACTCCTATTTCCAGTGAAACAATAAGGATGACACACCTTAATAGTTGAGGTAATAATAGCTAATTGATTTAGGGCTTCAGTATCAAGAGCACTTCTATCACCCTGCTTTATATTTTGCCATTTTCAGTTCAGGAACCTCAGGCATGGGATGTTTAAGTAAAGGCTCATGGTTACATTGCTAGGTGAAGGGCAAGAATTCATACCTGGAGCCTGTGAGCTTAGCCAGATTTCCTTCTTGCTCACATATATGGTAAAGGACTTTTTGAAAAAAGGCTTTCTCAAATTAATTTGATGTTTTTACAAAATATTTAGATTTCTAGGAAGTACTGATAATTAAGAGTTTTCCAGTTGTCTTTATTCTCACTGATGACATTTTTCTTTAATGTGTTTTGAAATTTTTGATTTTGTTGTTTGCATAGTGACATGCTTTTTAAAAGAACTATCATCTCATGCCC